GCGTTGAATCTTCCCAGATCCAAATCTACCGAAAAACCTGAGCTCCGTCTCACCCCTAGGCATGATCAACACCTTGGATCCAGATGCACCCAGGGCTTTGGTGTTCTCCTAATTGTTAGCTTAAAACCTTCCTTTTTTATTCATTTAACTTTGTATTTTTCTATGCAGTGAAGGCCTTGGCTCTGCAGTTTTTCTAGACGGCAGGATCCCTGAAATCAGTGACCGATCCTTGTGAATAAGGCCTGCTCGTGTGAGCAAGGCTGGTTAGACCAAGACCTGCATTTTTTTTTAAGGTCCATTCCCCACTTCCTCTGCAAAGAAATGCAGGCGTCGCTTCTAATACATGAGCCGTCCCTTTTGGGTGAATGGAGTTATTTACATGAGTAAAGTTAATTCTGTGTGTGTGTGTGATGGCAGCATCAAGCCTTAGGTGTCATGTCTGCTCTTGGGCAGGTTGCCCCTGCTCTGATGAGATTTTATTGCGTTATTCATTAGAAGATAACGAGCTTTGCTGGCCCAGCAGCAACAGTCCCGAGCAAGTCGCCTGCTGCAGGCACCCTTAGACTTTGCTCTCCCTGCCAGCTTGGAAAGCAGCATCTCCCATAGCTGTGTTTGCAAGGTGTTGCCCCTCAAGCACAGTTTGGGGACAAGTGGTTTAGGAGTAGGCCAGATCCTGCTGACTTAGTCACTTGTATACTCTGGAGCTGGCTACACGACCAGGATCCGGTTTTTGTCTTGAAGTCGTGCCAGCTGGCAGTGGCCGTCTGCTTCCTCTCCATCCCTGGGATGGCCGTGCTTGGAGACCAGCCGTGACGGGTGGTCTCAGGGCCTGATGGCTCAGTGGAGGTGGGGAAACAGAGTAGCCAGGGTCAGCAAGCTCTGCAATAAGGGTGCTGTCCTGTGCATGGATAGGGAGCGAGCATTTTGGGTCTGGTTGCTTCTGCCACCCCTTTATTGACACCTGCCCCTTGCTCACAGGTCTGGAGCTGTCTCGCTGTGTAGGCACCGGCTCCCTGGGCCCTCCTGTTCCTTGGAGGTCAGGGGGGCCCTGTAAGATGAAGAGGATCCGCACCGTCTTCAAGCCGGAGCAGCTGGAGAGGCTGGAGCAGGAGTTTCTCAAGCAGCAGTACATGGTGGGCACAGAACGCGTGGACCTGGCAGCCACCCTGCACCTCACAGAGACTCAGGTAGGAAATGGGCATCCAGCTGGGATGTGGCCAGGGTCCCAGAGCTCCAGCAGAGATGTCTTTGTGTTGCCCGCACTGGGCAGGACCATGGGAGAGATAGGCAAGCTAGATGCTCTCAGTCCTCCTCTCTATGCTGTAGTCTGAGGGGTCTTACTAGTTTCCTTTGCAGATGAAAGTAGCTTATTCTAGCTAGGAACACGGAGGGTTGAGCTCCCTAAGGAGATCCCATCGCGTTCCCCCAGTTCGCTGCACGAGTGGATTTAGGTGCCTAAGTGTGATGCTATTTCGTCTCGCGCAAGTCGCTGAAAAACAGGATCCAACCGCGCTGCTTTCTGTGACTCTGTCTGAAGAGGCAGAGGACGGTGTATTGCAAAAAGTAGATGCACTATTACTGGGGATCTCAACTTTTTTTGTACCAGGACCCATTTATAAACATCAATGGCCAGTCCTGACCCACTGCCCCCAGGCCCGAGCTCCCCGGTGCGTGGGGCATGGGGGGGCCCCAAGCAGCCCCTTGCAGGCTGCAGCTCTGCCAGCCTCCAAGGAAAAACCCATGGCTTCCCACATTTTTCTCTTTTAAAGGCGAATCCATTTTTAAAGATTGTTCACAACTCTTTTAATATATTCTTGCGACCCACTTTTGGGTTGCAACCCACAGGTTGAGAAATGCTGCGCTAATGAATATTAAGGGACTTGAACAGGGCACTTAATCACACTAAGGCATTTAAATCCCTAGATGCCTAATCATCAAGGATCCTGGTTTTCTCTGATTTAGAATAGTCCTCAATTTTTTATTAAAAAAAAAAAAAAGTAACCCCAAATCCACATTTTTCTGTGATTTAAATGAAACACCACTAGTGTGTGTGTGTGTGTATATCTATATGTGTATGTATATCTGTGTGTGTGTGTGTGTGTGTGTGTGTATAGTGGTGTTTCATTTAAATCATAGAAAAATGTGGATTTGGGGTTACTTTTTTTTAACTGAAGATTGGGGATTATTTTAAATGGGACGAAACCAGGATCCCTGCTAATCAGTGGAATAGACCATGGCCCCTGTAGTCACCAACCTGTGGAGCTATCTGTACAAGATCCCAAAGAGGCTATGAGCTTGGTGGGCTGCAAACAGGGTAAGAAAAGTCTGTGGATAATAAGCGCATCCAAAAGGCAGGATAAAAAGCCCATGCAATGCTCTGCTGCCTTAACAGAATCGTATGCAAGACACAAGAGGGGATAGGACAGCTCTACCTGGTGTTGGTTACCTGGAGTACTGTGCCCAGCTCTGTGCACCACATTTAGGAAGGATGCGACAGAACAAGGACCAATGGTCTCAAGTTGCAGCAAGAAAAGTTGAGGTTGTATATCAGGAAAAACTGTTTCACGAGGAGGGTGGTGAAGCACTGGAACAGGCTCCCCAGCGAGGTGGTGCAGTCTCCATCCTTGGACGTGTTTAAGACCCAGCTAGAGAAAGCTTTGGCTTGGATGATGTAGCTGGGGCTGGTCCTGCTTGCAGCAGCGGGTTGGACTAGATGTGACCTCCTGAGCTCCCTTCCAGCCCTTGTTGTCTGTGATTCTCTGATGTGGTGAAGCTGAAAAGGGTCCATAGGCAACGGATGAAACCGCTAAAAGGGAGAGGGGGGAAAGCAAGCTGTATGAGCCCTAGTCCCAGGGCTTAATCCTGCCCCCACTGAAGCCAGGGCAAAACTCCAGTTGGCTTCAGCGAGGATCCAGTCACTCCCACGCCACGGGTTGCTAACTGCAGTGTCCTACTCCACCTTTGGCTCAGATCAACCCTATCCTCAGGCCTGTCCTTGGAGGTATCCCCTTGTTCTGTGGTTGCTCAAGAAATCCCCAGGGTGCTGAGGTTTGGCATCCAGATGCCTCAGCTAGGGCAACAATGCTGCCTATTTACTTATTTTCCGGATGAGTTTGAGTCCCACTGAGTGAAGTGCCAGCAGGCAGGAGTTTAGCCCTTGCTCTTAATGAGGCAAGGATGTCACTCATTCAGTGCTGAAGCCTAGGATTTAACCAGAGGACGAGCAGGATGCAGCCTGGGGGGAAGCAGTTGTTTGGTGATTAGAGCCAGGGACAGACCGCTGTGTGACTCAGTTTCCCTCCCTGGGGATGTGCAGGCTTACATCAATGTCTGTAAAGAGATCTTCCCCTTCCCCTTCCTCCCCCCAAAAAAGCAACTGCCCCTTCACTTCGAGCTGTTATTACTAAGTGTCTCCATGGTCCCCATTGCCAAGAGACTCCCAGTCCCAGATCACGGGGGGCGAGTGCAAAACGAGGGGTCTTTACCGCCTCTTGTGCCTGTTCCCTCCTAGGTGAAAGTCTGGTTCCAGAACCGGAGGATCAAATGGAGGAAGCAGAGCCTGGAGCAGAAGAAAGCGAAGCTGTCCCAGTTTGGAGCGCCGCCGCCTGTCTCCGCTGACTTGACAGACCCCAAGGACACCGAGGAGGATGCGGTGGACATTGAGCTTTAAGTGACTCAAACGCTTCCTGCTATGGTGTGGTAGGAAGTTGGTGCCCATGTTCAGGGAGCGATGGATAGAGGAAGCTACTGGGGCATGCAGGGAGCTCCGGCTGGCCTCGGTGCTCCTCTGGGTCACTGAATGGCCGGGTTGAATTCTGCGGATACAGGGTTACGTTTGGGATGAGTCCATGGTATGCAATGCCCCCTGCCCGGCAGCCTCACGCTGCCATCCCTGGAGCTTGTCCTGTTGCATTGCCAGCTCCCATGACAAGGCGGCGGGGGATAAGTCTGGCTAACTCATGAGCGTGTCTTCTTTTCAGCCGAACAGGGAAGCACAGACCCTCTCCCGCAGAACGTCTAGAGAACGAGTCCGCCCCTTGGAGAGTTCAAATCCCCATCTGGACACCTGTGCGTGCAAAGCCATTGCGTTGTATCAATGCCAATGAGCTGCTAGAGAGCAAAGCCCTGGAAGCAGGGGGTGGGGGGCAGTAGGAATCCAGCGTGGTATTTTCCCTGTTTTTTTCCCCTGGCTGACTCTGTGTCTACATGTGATGTTCAGGTCTCAAAAAAAACCCAAACCAAAACAAAAAAGGGCTTTGCTGAATTTGCAATAAAATAAGTGGGCTGTGACAGAGCTTGGGCAGAACGAGCAGCAGGCCAAAATCCAGGGCCCTGATTGCTTCAGCAGGAGCTTTGCCGCAGGCCCAATCCTGCTGCTCGTTTGTGCTGGACCCAATCCTGACCTGGTATACAGCGGCGTACCTCCACCAGCCTTCGAGGAGTTTCCTGTGATCAGGCCCATCACTAGGAGACTGCAGGATTGGGCCCTAAGTGAGGGCATTTTTGGTGCCATGATTAATTTTCTCAGAAAGCCGTAAGTGCCTCGGGCTTAGAGCAGCGGTTCTCAACCAGAGCACCTTGAGATCCTTTCAAGGGTGCCACTGATGGGTGGGCAAACATGATTTAGGGATGTATTTGGTAGCTGTGTTGCTCTGAGACCAAAAGAAATGCAAAAATCTAGAACTCTTGGTTCAGAGATGATCCCTTTTATTAGACCAGCTGAGAAATTGCAAAAAAATTACAGAAAAAGATCATTTTTTTTTGTTGTTGTTGCCATTTCTCAGTTGGTCAAATAAAAGGGATCATCTCTGAACCAAGAGTCCTAGATTTTTGCATTTCAAACATGATGTATCAACCCAGAGATTTCAAACAGGAATCTTTACCGTTAAAGACACCCAGAACGGCTGTGGTCTTTCTGGGTTCTTTGCAACAGAAGACTTGCTCTATTATTTTCCTGTAGGCAAAAAAACAAGTTAAAATGAGGAGCTGGCATTTTCCAAGAGGTGCCTCGAGTCTATCAAGTGGTGCCTGGAGCCTAAAAAGCCTGAGAGCCACCAGCTTAGGAGCCGAGCACCGCCCTGCAGCCTGAGGGCATGCATGCTTTGCTTCCTTTCAGCTTGCAAAACCTAGATCAGAAAACTCTGTATGTCTGTGCACACAACATGATGGCTCCCACCATGGTTATGGTGTTTGGTCACTGGGATGCACTGAGATATTCCAGGGGAGTTTCAGGTCTGCTCCCCTAACAATGCAGTGAAAACTGGTTCGCAGCAGTAACAGAGGCTCCCCAATCCTCTTGCTCATCATTGCCTGGAGGTGCTCACTGTGTCAGGCTCCCGGATCTGTCCAAGTCTGACCTGCCCTCTCCCAGGTGGGTGGTGAGCAGGCTGCCCCCGCGTCTCAGGATAACTTATTGTGCCTCTGTTTGGACCAGAACCCTGTCTGCCACTTGGTGTTATTTATATCCTAGGAATAGCCCGATTTGGGGAAACGGTAATTTATTTATTTGTTTTGTACCAGAATAAAGTCTAGTCTATTTTAAAGGAGAGACAATAAGATGGGAGTATCTTGGGGGACGTGGATGGAGATGTGTTTTTTCTTTACAAGCGTGTGGGCATTTTGGGTTGGTTCAGGGCAGGTTGGATGGAGGCTGGAGGCCCTGCACAGCCCTTGCAGAAGGCTCAGGTATTCTGTATGCTGCTTTCCCCACGTCCAAGGCAGAGATTTCCTGCTGTCACAGCAGCCCTGGGATCCTGGGATGATCCAGAAGGAAAAATCATGTGCTCAAAGCTTGCAGCATTGCAAGAAGGTCAAGTGACACATCATGGGATTGCTTGGTGATCCAGGATGCCCGTTCCAGGCATAGATGACCCAGCCAGTAGGGAGACACCCCAGTGTGCTAAGAGATGCCTCCTTTTTGGGCGCAAGAAGCATAGCCAGCTGTCCTGCCCCACCTTTGCTCACCTCATTTTGCACCATATGCCTACAGATGCATTTGCTTCTGAAGCTCTCAGGCTAAAGGAGACTCTCCATTCACCGTTAGCAGTATAGGACCTATGACATGCTGCCAAGAAGTTCAGGGTCCAGCCAGAAGAAGGCAGTCATCTCATAGTAGATGTGCTTGTTGCCTGAAAAATAGGCCACGTTGCTTTTTAAGAGACTGTCACTACAAATAAACTCTGGTTGAAAAGCAGGATTATTTTTTCTCCTCATGGGATGTTTGGCAGGGGGGTGGGATGGACGACGGACACTACTATAATTTTTTTAAATTTTCATTTCCCCCCTTTTCCCACTTCTGACTTGCCCCCCTCTCCCCATTTTTGCCCTACTAGAAAATGTTGGTGAGGGCAAATATTTGGCAAAAAGAGAAACTCCGCTTTCAGTCCTTTCGATTGTGTTCCAAAGCCACAACTATTAATGAAGAACAGGCTTGAGAAAAAGGCTCCCACATTTCTCAGAAAGGAAAGCCAAACTCTAGGACGCTTGGTTCAGAGATGATGCCTTTTATTATTAGATCAACTAAGAAATTGCAAAAACCTTATTTTTTTTTCTGCAAGCTTGCATGCACACATGCCCTTTCTCAGGGTAAATGAAAGATGGTAAAAAATCTCTATAGGTAGAAAATAAACTTCATTTTTGCACAGAGGAAGCTGAAAGTGGATGACTATTCTTCTGCGTCCATGAGAGTCTTTGGGAGTTGGTCTTTGATGTGCAGATAAAGTAGGACAATGCCCACATTTCTCCAACATTTTACTCTTCTGCTGGCCTATACATGTATGAAAAATAGGTTTCTTCCCCACTTTTGACTACTTTCCCTGGTATTTGTCAGTCAGAATCCAGTAAGAAAGCATTGGAAAGTAGGAGGAACCCTCCTCCCCTCCATGACCTTGACATATTTTGGTTTAAAATTGTAAGTTCGCTTTTGAAAAACATTGTCCCCCTCCAAGTCTTAGTTGGAAAAGAATTAATTTTTGATATAACTCTTTTTGGAAAAAAAAAAAGATTTTTGGAGGAACTTTTAACACTCAACTGTAGATTGAAAGAGGAACTGTCTGTTTTATATACATTTCTGTCTCTAAACGGAGCTGTTTCCCTCTGGGGCAATTATTGCACCAAGCTAGCACCACACTGAAACAAGAAAATATTTTGGTGAAAATCGCCATGTGGTTTCTGGACAGCATGCCATCTTCTAGGGCTCATGGTGGAGGTGATTTTTTTATTAGACCAACTGGATTTTTGCAGAATTTCTTGAACTGCAAGCTTTCGGGCACAAACACTCTTCATTTCTCCAATGCCTGCGGAAGGGTGTTTGTGCCCAAAAGCTTGCAATTAAAGAATTGTTTTTGGTAAAAATCTTGTTGGTTTAATAAAACATATCACCTCTGTCACAAACCTGATTGCTTTTCCCACTAGAGCAGTACAGCTACAACCTGGATACCTGACACCATCCTCTATGCATTTATCCTTGTAGCACTCTGATGAGGGTAAAGGCAGTGTGATGGGGACCTGAGTCACAGATTAAGGACAAAATCTTCCTCTTTTTTATGTCAGTAAGGGGCAGGTGTCTGAATGAAGGAGTGGCAGCTTGAACCCAGGTTTCCAAAATCCATGTCCAGGGACTGTTACCAACCTCCACGAATGGATCGCTACTCAGGTTACCCCATCCTATTCATTTTAAGCCACCGTTTTAAACTGCTTTTGGAAAATTTTGAAAATGTAGGCAGAAATTTACCCATGTCTGAGGGCTGATCTTTTATTCTTTTTGGAAAACGTCAGCCAAACAGTTAATATATTGTTTTGCCCATATTAAAAAAGAAAGTGGATACCTTTACTTCAAGAGTCTCTAACCTCCCCCATGCCTTGAAATCTGGTGGGGGAGATGGACTTTGACTCAGGAACAACTGCTAGCTAAACCCCCGGGACAGACTCGACTCTGTTGTTAGAGCGTTTGACAGATGAGCTTGTTTTCTGTGGGTTCAAGGTATGGCCAAACTGGAAATAAAACCTGTGCTAGCATAATGCTCTTTGCATTATGCTATTATTACTATTATCTTTTGGTGTTCTGCCTACGTAGCTATAGTGACAGAGGCTTGATCATGCAAGTAAGCCTTGTGGCCAGTGATTCTCAGCCAGGGTACCGGGGTAGCTTGGGGTGCTTTGAGATCTTTTCAAGGGTGCCCCATGGTGCCACATCATTTTAGCACTGCCAGGTGTGCAAACATGATTCACAGGATCAACCCAGAGATTTCAGAGTTTCACGTGTTCAGAGTCAAAAACACTGCCGTGTTGTGTCTGACTTCTTTGCAGCAGAATAATTGCTATAATATATTTCTATGGTCAAAAAAGAGCAAAGCTGGCACTTTCTAGGAGGGGGCCTCAACTCTCAAAAAAGCGGAGAACCTCTGCATTATGCCCAAGGCGAGAAGAGACATGACCAAGGCCACACGGCAAAGCAGTGGCAGAGCCAAGAATTTCACTTAGCCAGCTGAGCCCCTTTTCAGTGCCGTATTCACTAGACAGTCCTGCTCCACCCCACCCCCCTCCATGACCCAAAATGCATGTGGTAGGAACTCAAGAGCAGCATAAACTGGAATGTAATATCAATAGGAAGGCAGATATAAAATGAGCCAAGTGTGAAGAAAGGCCAAAGGGCTCAAACCCTTGCACAACTGAGGCCTGATAGGACCTACTATATCACACCTAATATAACAGGGTTGTTGGTTGTAGCCTTGGACTTAAGGACATAGGCAGATGAGATTCTCTGGGTAGATGTGATTTCTTTTATTAGACCAACTAAATAGTTGGGGGGAATGTTCTTTGCAAGCTTTCGGGCACGAACGCCCTTATTCAGGCATAGGGAGAGTCTGCTGGTGTTATGCCATAATATAACAGGATGTTTTCCTGCATTTACGCCCAACAAAAAAGCCTGTAGCAGCATCTAGTGGCCAGAGGGCGTTCATGCTAACTAGCTCTTTACGGTGGCTATCAGAGGGCAGGAGAAACGGCTGCTAGGCTCGGAGCCAGCTTGGAGGGAGGATCCAAAAATCAGGTCTTTTAAAAGCGTGCCACGAGGACACTTGTGATTGCAGGTCGAATACAGCCCGCGTGCAGTGCAGAAAGTTATGCTTCAATTACCGTTTGCAAGGAACTAATTATCTTCAAGTGCTTCTCTGAATTAACTGCATGGGAACTGGCTGGCATCCAAGTGATTTTTGGGCATGCAGGGATTGGCACCGTAGGGAGAGGCATCCTTATGTCCACACACAAGTCCCTGGCCTCTTTCCAAACTATGGGGGGACTAGTTCTTGCCCCTTGGATGAAGTCCAGCTTGGGTGATTATATCCTACGTCCCCCGCCAAGTTTCCATTGGAAAAAAAATCCATCACAAATAGGGGACATCCCCCCCAGAGATGCATTTCTGCAGACCCCAAAGGACGTGCCTACAGACTGGGTCCAAGCCATGCTTGCCTGCCAACATGGGCCAGGTGCTCCAACAAGGGGATGATTGCTGGAGCACCCGGCCCATGATAGCCCTTGACAGCTCCACAGAGACCCAGCAAGGGGATGATCGC